ATAGTTACAGTAAAAGCTTGTTATTTCAAGCTCGGGGGGGATCATATTATAACACTAGTTGAATTAGGCGGAGATCGAAGTAGTGGTTAGGCACTAAAATGCACAAACACTCTATGGCAGAACCCAATTAAGCTACCTCTGAACTGAATATCACAAACTAGGCGCTACTACAAATTTGTAGCAGGTGACTTTGTTGGTTAAGTTCATAGAGCAAACCAAATTATTTCATCACTCAATTATATGCCATAAACAAACACTGGCATACATTCACATGAACAGTGAGCAGGGGTGCAACTGCGGAAAAAATTCACAGCTTTGCCGCAAAGGCGAAGCAATGAATGCCATAGAAACAGATTGAAAGGACACTAGCAAAATGGCAAGCAGATCGAAACAAGCCCGCCATTCCTCACACATAAATAACACACAAAACGTACTCACAGGTACAGATGAACGCCAATAAAAGTCTCAGTTCTTACTTCGCTGTGTCTGAAAAGTGCACTCTTTTCGCAAACTGAGACTGTGCAACCATTGCAGTGACGTTTGTGCACCAAATAACTACAACAGAATCCTTCCGGTGAAAGCTTAAGGACAGCCAAGACATAAGATGCTCCCAACCACGAGATAAGAGCCCGCGAATGAGTGTTCAGGGGCTTTACGACTACCCACTCCTTTGCACAAGGCAAAGTACACAGGGAACACAGAGGAAGTTTTTTCTTCCTCCATGGCGTGGGAGATGAGGACGCGAGCCGCTGCACGCTCATCGCGCCATCTTGCTGTTAATGCTGAAAACACGATAGTTCCCCTCCGAAATGCTCTTCACTAGTGGTAAGTAGCTCAGTGGTTAACACTTTGCACTCACACGCAGAGGTTCCAAGTTCGATTCCTCGCGCTGGAGTCTATTCCTGGATTTTTTTTTTCTTGCATTTTCATAATATATACACGTACACATATACGGTGAGTGACGCCGACGTCGACACCGGCGGCAAAATCCAGCCGAGAGTGTCCATATAATAGCTATCGCAAGACTAGAATTTGGAGCAATTTTCGGAGCAGCAGAATATAACTTTTGGAGGACTAAAATCCAAATTTGGAGCAGGTTGCAGGGACAAAAAAACATCCTCTTTTATCACAAAATATCAAATTTGCAGCAGTATAGAAAAGGCCTACAGTTAGAAAAAAATGTATTCATAAACCTTTCAACATCACCTAAATAGTAAAAAGTGAACGTAAGAACTCCTATTTTATTAAAATTAATACTTTGAAATATGCCACTGTGCGATCAAGGATGAAGTTCACATTAGCACTTGCCGCACCTGTCAGATCCTAAGACAGACTGTGAATTCACATGTGTATCTGCCAAGCTGGCGACCCTGAAATTCTGGCGATTCCTAAAAATGAGGAGTGGGAGTGGTGAAAAAAAGTGTGGTGCACACTTTTTTGTTTTTCAAGGCTGCTCAAACCTCATACAATGCTCCAAATGATTGCCAGTAAGCCAGTGTAAACTTTTTAGACGTCAGCAATCATACCAGTAATAAACGAATTAGTAATCGGAAAAAATGTGCTGTGCTCTGTGACTAGCGCTAACAGTCCCTGTCAAACCTGAAGACGCTCTTCCACAAGACACCAGTGTACTGTGGCAAAGGTGGCTTAAATAAAGCGTCCTTCACGGCTTAAAACAAGGCCTAGAAACTTTAAAATCACCACACCACCTTCCTCCCGGCCCCCCCCCCCTTTTTTTTTTCTTTCCTGATAGGGTTAGGTTTAGGGCACTACCTCTCCGCACGCTTTCAAGGTGCGTTCGACCAGATAACAACATGCACCTGTTGGCCCAGCAACACCGGCTATTTATTGCCGGGACGATGCAACTTTAAGACAAAGGTGTTTTATGTGTCCTTTCTACAGCAACCAACATGATCACCAGCTTTCACAGCAAGAATTTGGTTGCGTGCGGAAAACACGGCACATGCTTCCAGCTTTAGTTCCTAAAATAATATAGCCATGTTTGCTGGCTACAAAATAAATATTTCGCGAAAAGCGTTATGGGCTACGGCAACGCGAATTCGGCCTCAAATTGCGTCGTCCCGCCGATCGGTGTCCGCTGCAGTCAGTGGACCGACGGGCGTATGGCGTTGTTACTTTATTAGGTCAATTACGCCTCGCGGGTGCTCAGACCTTAATGAGTATATATCACACCGTGGGTTAGGGTCTGGATGCCTGGACTGATTTATGATGCAAACTGCATCTGGCCAACACAGCTTACATTTCTCGCTCTAGTACGTGCAAGTGAGAAAAAATATTGAAGCAGCATGAACATTTCGACACAGCGTGGTACAATTTAAGCGAATTTCATGGTTATGGCACAGCTTAGCACAAAAATAGAAAAGTGTATCAAATTGGCTCAACTGGTACAACTGTTGCACCCCTGAGTGGGCCTTAAGCTCTAAATCATTTGTTTATATGCTAGAGTTAACGCAGAAACATTAAAAGTATTTGTGGTCTGCCCTGGATGTCCTCTGGACCGAAATGAAGTTAAGAGAATAAAGCTTGGAATAAGATTAAATAATAAAGCTCTATCACACCCTGGCTTCACTACACTGCACAAGAGGTGTGTTGAAGAGAAGCATTAGTGACAAGGCAAGCACAAACATAAGGTTTCTGCAAATGACGGGTGTCATAAGGTCATTCCAAGGAAAAAAAGGTCCCAACCAGAAAACCAGCAGTCAGACAATTAAAAAAAAGAGACAAAGAAAATTCGGTACAACTGTTTGAAATTACCTGCATACATAATGCTTTTACTAACGATGGCATTTCATTGCACTCAATTAGTTTTGAAGGCGTGAAAATCCTATGGCATTCTCTCTTTCACTTACCCATGCAGCCAAGATGCGATTTTGGTGCCCCTGTGCTACTCACACGGTTGAGGAATAACTATGACGCCCTGCAAACAGGTCACATGGCAAGGGCAGCCGACAGGCCCTAGAAGCTGAGGAAAGCGAGTGGCTGAACCCCTTGAATCCAAGGACTGAGTCCGGCCAGGAACGTACAGCAAGTGCTGAGGACTAATGCAACTCTCCGTATTTTAGTTTTTCTTAGCAGTTTTAGACTTAACGAAGCAACTGCATGACTAGTTAGGCGGCACGTGAATAGCAAGAAATCCCCGCGGCAGCACCACTCAGTGTCAGTGCGATTTCCGAACAAACATTGGCTTCGGAGCAAACGAGCTGGAAAGATTTATTTGCAAGCCAGACAAACTTTTTTACCCGTAATTGCAATAGCAATTATACTGACACTCTCTACTGGTTTTTGCAGTCAGCGTCCCCATCTTGTTCCGCATGCATAGTGTGCATTGACATCGCCTTGGCCGCCCTTTGTGAGTCCTTGTTGGTTGAAACACCACGTGCACTCTTAATCGAACTCGCAGAGCGAGAAATTGTGACGTCAGCTTAGTGCCGGTGCCCCTCGTGGTTCTTTGTGTTGCCTCTTGGCGCGGCTGGCAAACTGCAGCAAGTAGCAGAGCACCAAAGATTGCAGGGATCAAACGATGGCATGTCCTCCCCTCCACTGACTCCCTCCAACAAGATAAAAGTTCATTGTGACGACCATGTCAGCACTCAGCGCCAAATACCTGTGACGTCACGTGAACACTATGTACAAAGTTTCTAACTGATAGCATGCCTCCATACATTGTACACAGCTAAGCACATACGAGCAGGGGTGATATAGCTCTGGCCAACTGGGCTGGCCCTACGTCACCTCCTGAAGGCGATCTTCGACAACAGCGTAACTCTGACCTACTGGACTTGCACGCCATCACCTGACGCAGACAAGAGCTCTCGCAAGTGGTGCCCCGTCCTCGGACTCCTGTGACCGTGTTTCCATTTTTCCTTTCTCTCTTATCCCCTCGATATGTCCTCGCTCGCTGTCCCAGCGCATCTCTCTCTCTCTATATCCTTACTTCTACCCTTTTAATCCCTCCTCACCCCATCCCCTATGAGCTACTGTTGAGGTGTCGCACCTTGATGCAGACAGTTACAGGGCTCACTTTTCTCTTCTTTTTCCTCTTATAGCCACATCTCTGAATGCGGCTGAAGCAGAGATCAAGCAAGCCGGCTTATCTGTGTTGCTCAGGGGGGACATGCAATAACATTACCTCGTGTGTTAGAACGATCGTCGAATATTCAAGCGAGGAGGAAATGCCTTGCCCATGTTTAACGAGCATGAAGGAACATCGAGAGGGGGTGGGGTTTCTCGCTAGAGCAACAACAGTGAACTTTGATTCTAAGAGCGCAGCAGCTGACGCCTGTACTATCTCTGCGGGCATTAGCAGTCGGCTAGACTACCCCCATTCGTACTGCGCTCTCAATGCGAAGAGATTGTGCAAAAAGTGTGCACCAAAGAGTGGCCATATTCTAAGGCTTAGTGTTATGATAGGCATACCGAAAAACATGGCGCAGTACAGTTAACATGCATTTAGTTTTCTTTTTGTTCGTAATATCAAACTTTCGCATGGTCAAGCTTTGATTCAGATGAAGATGCTGTTTACAGCCCGCAGTGGCCATAGCTGTAGCCCACTGTGGCTGCGTTGCGGCACGCAAAGTTACTCATGAACAAAAAAAAAGTCACTTTTCTATTTGTTATCGCCAGTTCGCTAATACATGAAAAAGACTGTCGATGACATGCTGAACTTTCAACAACAAAGATGCACATGGTGGTGCAGAGACTTTGGTTAGGCTGAATATAATGATAAAAAGCGCATACTTGAAACAGAATGAGTAGAAAACATCGGCGGAATTACGGAAAAACTTTAGTATTGTTTGCTGTGAACAAAAATATTTTGTTGCCAGTAAAAGTTATTTCCGTGTAAAACAGGTGGATTACTCAACTTTGGCACAGTAGGCACAAGTTTTACTCGAATGTGTGCAGCAAGGTGCAAGGACATTGAATTGTAGCAAAATGGCAAAATTGACGACCAGCACTGACTGAAGTGCACTGCATCTCACCTAGAACAGTGGCTAGCTTGCTCAGCCTCATGTCCCAAGACTTCACCTTCCCATCCTGAAAGCAGAGGTGATGGGACACAAAGGTCAGGATCTCGTTTGCAAGGTGTCACTTCTACAGCACTAACGAGAACAGACAATGTCATTGTATGGTGAAACACACTTCTTTACTACAGCATGTCACTTGCAACGCATAAAAATGACAACCATGAGATCCGTTCAAATTACATTTTGCACTCATCTATATACAATAGAATCTCGATGATACGATTACAGTAGATGCGAATTCAGCAATGATATAAACATTAAGGTTGCTTTGGATGAACTACATTATATGAAATACGCCGCAATTCAGCGTTAAATTAAGGGTTTAAAACCATGGATGATACGAACGTGCTATTGACCGCTGCATGTGAGTGCCGCAATGCGCCTTCTCTGTAAGAGGAAGGCCCGTTAACACTTAGCCTCAAAGGAAGCTTATGCAGCAAAACTCATTAGAGTTTCCCTCGCTTCACAGCCGGAAAGGTGGCCGGAAAACCATGTCGCAAGGCTGACGCTAAAAAGTCAGTTTGAAACCAATTTTGCCGCCAAGCAATAGTGTATCGCCTTTCTGTTATGGGTAAGGCTATGCCGGCTGAACTCACATGGCGGCAAAGGCATCAGCGATGACTCGGTTAGGCGCAATCCCGAACTACCCGTGCAGTACGAAAAAGCTCACAGCCTTGAAAAGGATGCGCTGATTGAGAGCCTGGTTTGAATTATGATCGCTGCGAACACCAAAAAAAAGAAGATGGTACAGCAGCAGCGAGTCAGCATGTCTTAACGTGTCCCGCTTTTGAACTGCCGGCTCAATTCGTCACTGCCGCTGTAAGTGCATCCGCTTGTGTCTTCTGACGTATCTCCCGAAACAACGTTTGCAAAGGTGTAAGCTGTTTCTTTTCAGTGCTTTGCATCCATAACTGGAAGTCAGTACGGATTTTAATGCTCACTAATAAATTCTCAAGCGGCGACGGGCAGAATGGATGTGAACATTTTCGACGAGCGCGGACGTGCTTTTGCAGCCGCTCCGGCATTTTCGCTTGAATTATCCAGTGTACATGAATTCTCCAGGACTCAATTCTTTTGTGTCAACTTCACGATGCATTTTTACGCTTGCTTAAGCGGCAAAGCGAGTGAATTTTGAACACTTAGTGAACAATAGTGAATTTTCCACATGTAGTGCTTGCGAAGTATAATAAATGACGAACAACACGGACAATTTTGCAATCCCGATACGAGTGATTGTTTGTTGCACCCTGTTCTTTTGCACATGTTAAAAAAACCACGTAACCGCTTTAAATACCTTTTTTTCTGACTAATAAAACTTCAGTTGTGACAGCAAGTGCTGTGTCCTTGTCAGCCTCTTTTGTCCGTCTATTTTTTTATGCGCTTCAACAAAATTTTCATTTTACGGCTATCTTTCATAAAAGATTCCCAAGGTGTGAAAAACTGTCGATTTGTTCCCAGAACTTAGGATGTCATTGGGGCATGAGAAAGGTCAAGGGACCCCTCAGCAGCCCGTCTTAAATTTTGGCAGCACACTTATATGTAAGGCGTTTTGTGGGGAGTGTTTCAGCTGAGATAATATAGGAAGAAAAAAAAAAACACAAAACAAGGGGAGGAGGCGGCGAGGTTAACGTTTTGATGAGAGATGAGAGTCGAAAAAAGCAAGCTTTTTTCTAAAATTAAATATTTCTTCTTTTAATTTTTTTTCCCCAATTAAGTTTCTCTACTTTTGCAACAAAAAGACTGAAAGGGATTTTAATTTACTTCTAGTTTAACTATAATCTTCAGTCTTTTGGTTGGAGCACAAGGTAGCTACTAACACTAAAAAGAGTTTATTGCCTAGAGTCCCCCTGAAATCATCACCAGGCTGCTTACCATTGCATTTCATGAGGAGTTTACTAAAGCAAGAAGTTCATTATAACAATGACAGCCAAGCTCTCATGATGAAATAAATCACCAATTAAAAAAAACATGCATTTGCCGTATAGATGAGACCTAACTTATGCCTTTAAAATGAGTTTTCACAAGATCCATTTTCCGACAACTTCTTGAGCTAGGACACCATGTTTTTTGTACTTCTGATGATCAGATCAGAATTAAGTTTTGCACACATATTCCTTAGCCTCTAAGGGGTGCAAGTTTCTCCTTTCAAACATCATATTGCTTGTATGATTATTACGAACTTAAAGGAAACAATTAGTAGGGGCTGGGGATTCAATGAATTTTAACATTATAATTTTTCTTCTCCATTAAAATGTCTTAGAATGCACCTCATTGACACTTATTTGCATATTGCAGTCATTGTTAATGTAGACCAAGAAGAGCTATGAATGGTTCGGAACCATAAAAGCTTAGCAGCATAAAAAGTTTATCCAAAAGAAACTATACGTTACCCATGGTCATAGAACAGAACAAAAAATCTACCACTTACTATATAACTAATTCCATATCTGAAATGAGCAAAAAGCCTATATGAACGGAAAAACATATTACCGTTGGCTGCCGATTAATAAGACGTTTTCCTTTTTTGAATCAGACATCTCCCCTTAAGGGTAACAAGGACAGTTTGTGGAACCATGGCTGTCAAAAGTAAGCACCATCTAAAACTTCTTAGATCAAAGGCATAAAACACTGCAGATATGCATTTTGAGACATCACAAAAAAAGACTTTTTCCATTGAATGGGTAGGCAGCCTCACAAGCCGGTGTTGGGCAATGCGTACCAAGTATTTTACTGTGATCTTCTCAAAGCCAGCCGGACGGCAACGGTCACTATCCCAACGAGTCAACACAGTTCCACCGAGTTTGCAAACTATGCCTCTTACGTGTCGCCTAAATAGCAAGCATTACTGTCACGATTGCTGAAGACAATTCACTCATGCTTGTTTATGTTCACCACGAGCAGATGACCCAGCTAGCAAGTCGCAAGTCCCTCCCGGTGATGTCGCACTGCCATGACACCACACTGAGAAGCCATATCAAAACTGGAAGTGATTTTGTTCACATAGCATTATTAAAAATATTTACAATGAGTTCAAAGGCCCCAAAATGTTAGTGTTGAGGTTCAAAACCATTGCCGACACCAGTGCTGTTGCTTAGAACGACAATCCTAAATTATTCTCAATTCAAGTCAGTATTTTAAGTCTCACTGGTTTTCTTTGTGCACAGTCATTTCTCATGGATTCAGAACCTCTTTCTCATGGATTCAGAGCCTCAGAAACATTTACACCGAATCGCTAAAGTGTGATAATATTGTGCATAAGACATGACTTTCTATATTTTCCACCAGCGGAAATCGTATGTTCCAAGTGTGAAAAGTTTCAGCACATGTCAAAGCTATGACCTGCCACATTAATATCCTGTGCAACTGCTTTCGCTAAACTTTTGGCCGTGTAAGTGCAATGCCCTTTTGATCTAATACGAAGAAGCCATACTCTTTTGCCAAAGTATTGATAGTGACCAGGTGCACACTTGAGCACGATTATACAAGTTTGAACTAGTCCACGCAAAACTAGGTTTCGCGTAATAATCGTAATCCTATTCGGTGCCTCAAAGGGACCGACAACTAATTTTTTTCAACCCAGTTTTTTTCAGCTGCAACAGAAAGCTTACCCTTCGTAGTGTTTGCAGCTGCCGTAGTTAATCCCAAAAGCACGTAGTCATTTCATAAGCAGTTTTTTTCTATCTGAAAAGCTCTGAACATGGATAAGCCCTTTCATCCAGCAACGCTGAGAGTCGATAGCTATGCCAGTAGCCTTTCTGGCGAGTTGTGCATGCTGTCATTGTTCTGCTTTCGCAGGAGTTCCTGTAACTATGCTTAGCCAAATTTATTCTGAACTTTACAACTATTGTTGAAAATAACAAGCCATTACAACGACATGACTTGGCTTAATACAGCTCCTCAGTATTTGTACCTGATTGTGTGCGCCTGTGCCCAAGGTTGTTGTGGCTGTCTCATGGATTGCTTGACCCGTAGTCGTTACTCTCTCGACACACGAGCCAAGCCAAGTCACCGAAAATGTCGTTGTGCATGTGTGCCGCCATGCCAACTAATAGTACATGTCATTTATGAGACAAATTGTACATAAACATACCACGTCACTCCAAAATCCTAGCGACCCAAAAACTACATGCATGATCTCGTGAGCATGCAGAAAAGTTGCTCAAGACGCACTGACGAGCATGGGATGATTGCGCCATGCGAAGGCAGTGCCACTTCCATAAATACTACCAGAGTCCTTCAATTTTACTGGTCACGAAACTGCTCCGTAACTCAATGGGAGAGCTTCATATGATGCGTTGGGTTGCCGCGCGGTGGCGCCACCATCTCACTGAGGGGATTCGTCGGGCTGGTCGGGCGGCGTTGCGCTGGCTCGAACGACGCTGCAAGTTGTTTGCTTTGTGTGAGAAACGTGCATATCGTGCTGTTGTGATGCGGCGTTAGTGCAGCGACGATGCCGAACACGTGTTGTGTCCCGGGATGTCGTTCCGGGTACAAGGGCAGAACAGAAAAAGTTTCCTTGTTCTGTTTACCCAGCGACGGCGTGCTGCGCGAGAAATGGAAGCGCTTAATTCCAAGGCAAGAAACGGGTGACTTTTGCTTCGACTCTAAGTATGTGAGAGTGTGCGAGAAGCATTTCGATGACAGTGACATCGTCCGCGCAGATGAATTCGTGGTGAATGGCGAAAAAGTGTCACTTCTGCGCGACAAGCCCCTTCTGAAGCCTTGTGCCATTCCAAGGAAGTTTGACGGCTTGCCAACGTATTTGACGAAGCCGAAGCAGCGGTCACGGACCCTGACAAGAAGGTCCCCAGCGAAGCGACGTCGTGAATCGTCCTCATGTGCCCGTAAAACAGAGTTCACGCCAAACCAGGCACATCGGGTGCCGCGTCGTGTGATGAAGGTGAGTTTACGTCCAATGTTGTTTTAACTTTCTTGCCCGTGCAGTGATTATATCGGTGAAATTTCGAAGGAGTGTGTGAGCTGAAAATGCGCTATTTGAAACGATTTTTG